ATTGTGAGCAGTGGCAGTGGGTATTGGGAGCAGTGGCCGGGAGTATTGGGAGCAGTGGCCGAGTGTATTGTGAGCAGTGGCAGTGGGTATTGGGAGCAATAGCAGAGGTATTGGGAACAGTGGCAGGGGGAGGGGTTGGGTATTGGGAGCAGTGACCGGTAGTATTGGGAGCAGTGGCATGGGGTTTTGGAAGCAGTGGCAGGGAATATTAGGAGCAGTGGCAGGGGGGGGGGTATTGCGAGCAGTGGCAGAGGGTATTGGGAGCAGTGGCCGAGGGTATTGGGAGCAGTGGCAGGGGGTATTGGGAGCAGTAGCAGGGGGTATTGGGAGCAGTGGCAGGGGGTATTGGGAGCAGTAGCAGGGGGTATTGGGAGCAGTGGCAGGGGTTATTGGGAGCAGTAGCAGGGGGTATTGGGAGCAGTGGCCGGTAGTATTGGGAGCAGTGGCATGGGGTTTTGGAAGCAGTGGCAGGGAATATTAGGAGCAGTGGCAGGGGGGGGGGGTATTGCGAGCAGTGGCAGAGGGTATTGGGAGCAGTGGCCGAGGGTATTGGGAGCAGTAGCAGGGGGTATTGGGAGCAGTGGCAGTGGGTATTGGGAGCAGTGACCGGGAGTATTGGGAGCAGTGGCCGGTAGTATTGGGAGCAGTGGCAGGGGGTATTGTGAGCAGTGGCAGGGGGTATTGTGAGCAGTGGTAGGGGGTATTGGGAACAGTGTCAGGGAGTATTGGGAGCAGTAGCAATGGGGTATTGGGAGCAGTGCCAGGAGGTATTGGGAGCAGTGCCAGGGGGTATTGGGAGCAGTGCCAGGGGGTAGTAGTAGCAGTGACATTTCAGATGGGCAGCGGTGTGCTGCCCACCTTAAATCTTCTCTATTAGAGTCATCAGTCAGGCCTAGAGGTGTGCTCTAACCTCACGCTCGTGGGGTCGCGAGTTCGAGGCTCCCACCGCCCAAGTGAGTGAAATGTTTATTTTCACGATATATATATATATATATATATATATATATATATATATATATATATATATATATATATATATATATATATATATATTTAAATGGAAGGGAGTACCACCTCTAGCTGATATATATATATATATATATATATATGTCGTACCTAATAGCCAGAACGCACTTCTCAGCCTACTATTCAAGGCCCGATTTGCCTAATAAGCCAAGTTTTCATGAATTAATGTTTTTTCGTCTACCTAACCTACCTAACCTAACCTAACCTAGCTTTTTTTGGCTACCTAACCTAACCTTACCTATAAATATAGGTTAGGTTAGGTTAGGTAGGGTTGGTTAGGTTCGGTCATATATCTATGTTAATTTTAACTCCAATAAAAAAAAATTGACCTCATACATAGAGAAAAGGGTTGCTTTATCATTTCATAAGAAAAAAATTATAGTAAATATATTAATTCAGGAAAACTTGGCTTATTAGGCAAATCGGGCCTTGAATAGTAGACTGAGAAGTGAGTTCTGGCTACTAGGTACGACATATATATATATATATATATATATATATATATATATATATATATATATATATATATATCAGCTAGAGGTGGTACTCCCTTCCATTTAAATATATATATATATATATATATATATATATATATATATATATATATATGTCGTACCTAGTAGCCAGAACTCACTTCTCAGCCTACTATTCAAGGCCCGATTTGCCTAATAAGCCAAGTTTTCCTGAATTAATATATTTACTACAATTTTTTTCTTATGAAATGATAAAGCAACCCTTTTCTCTATGTATGAGGTCAATTTTTTTTTATTGGAGTTAAAATTAACGTAGATATATGACCAAACCTAACCAACCCTACCTAACCTAACCTAACCTATATTTATAGGTAAGGTTAGGTTAGGTAGCCTAAAAAAGTTAGGTTAGGTTAGGTTAGGTAGGTTAGGTAGACGAAAAAACATTAATTTATGAAAACTTGGCTTATTAGGCAAATCGGGCCTTGAATAGTAGGCTGAGAAGTGCGTTCTGGCTATTAGGTACGACATATATATATATATATATATATATATATATATATATATATATATATGTCGTACCTAGTAGCCAGAACGCACTTCTCGGCCTACTATGCAAGGCCCGATTTGCCTAATAAGCCAAGTTTTCCTGAATTAATATATTTTCTCTAATTTTTTTCTTGTGAAATGATAAAGCTACTCTTTTCATTATGTATGAGGTCAATTTTTTTTTATTGGAGTTAAAATTAACGTAGATATATGACCGAACCTAACCAACCCTACCTAACCTAACCTAACCTAACCTAACCTAACCTAACCAACCCTACCTAACCTAACCAACCCTACCTAACCTAACCTAACCTAACCAACCCTACCTAACCTAACCTAATCTATCTTTATAGGTTAGGTTAGGTTAGGTAGCCGAAAAAGTTAGGTTAGGTTAGGTTAGGTAGGTTAGGTAGTCGAAAAACAATTAGTTCATGAAAACTTGGCTTATTAGGCAAATCGGGCCTTACATAGTAGGCAGAGAAGTGCGTTCTGGCTACTAGGTACGACATATATATATATATATATATATATATATATATATATATATATATATATATATATATATATATATATATATATATATATATTTATAAATTTTTTATATATAAATGTCCACGAAAATTTGTTAATGATTACTATTAATATAATATTCAACAATCATTATTAATAAAAGTATTATTAATATTATAATAAATATTCCAGTATATATATAGATAATATATATCTTTTATTATATGGGGATACCACCTCTTGTGCAATTGTGGGGTAACACAGCCTCAGAGTCTAGTGTGTGTGTGTGTGTGGGGGGGGGGGGGGTGTGTGTGTGTGTGTGTGTGTGTGGGGGGGGGGTGAGTTTTGTATTTACTGTTTTGTGTCTACAGAATCGAGATATTAGGTCTTGGACCCTCCTGTCAAACAAATCTATTTATCCTCTATTATATCTTCTACATGTCTCTCTCTGACAAACATACACACACACACACACACACACACACACACACACACACACACACACACACACACACACACACACACACACACACACACACTCGCACCCAGGAAGCAGCCCGAAGCACCTGTCTAACTCCCTTGTACCTATTTACTGCTGGGTGAACAGAGGCATCAGGGTGAAAGAATCTCTACCCATGGCGCACGCAGACACGTGCGTGTGTGTGAATAAATAACGGGATGAAATTAACACAATTTCTAAATGAAAACGTAAGGTCATGAAGTACAATATTAAATACATTTTCACTTGTGATATATGTATATGTATATGTATATATATATATATATATATATATATATATATATATATATATATATATATATATATATATATATATATATATATATATATATATATATATATATATATATATATATATATATATATGTCGTTCCTAATAGCCAGAACTCATTACATGGCCTAGTATTTACCTAACTGGCATCGACTATCGTTATTTTTTTCAATTATTTGAAATTGGTTTATTTCAATTAATATTATTATATTATAATAAGAACATGAATAATAACTTTGTTATGTTAAATTAGGTTAGTTTAGAATAGGTTTGGTCACATTTCTACGTTAGTTTGATCTCAAATTTAAATAAAAATCAAATATATTATGCAAAGCTTTATCATTACATAAGAAAAAATTTGAAAAATATATATTTTCAGGAAAACTTGGTTATTTAGGCAAATCGGGCCTCGCTTACTAGGCCAAGTAGTGCTTTCTATCCTTTAGGTACAGAATAAATAAATAAATAAATAAATAAATAAAATATATATATATATATATATATATATATATATATATATATATATATATATATATATATATATATATATATATATATATATATATGCGGAAAATCCACAGAGAAATGTGAAAGGAAGTGAACGTTTCGGCCTGATTAAAGCAGTTGTCAACACCAGACTCACCATAACACCTCCAGACACAATAAAAATAATCAGTGCTTTGTGATCGATATTAATATTTTTGTAGCTGGCCACTCACTAACGTTTAATTTTCTGAATAACGATAAAAATGTTTTGCAACTTGAATCTTGAGAAAAACTAAATTGTTTCAACGTTACTAATACGATGTAAGTTTTGTTATTCAATAAATTTTCGCAGGTTGTAATGTAATGATGGTCCCTTTTGGGTAAATTTATTATGTATATTAATACGCACAGCATATATACATATTTAATATAAATATGTATTTAATATAAATATGTATATCATTATTAGTCATCAACTTGCAATCAGATGATACTAGTCTCCTTCCAGCTGATCCTAGCAATTAACTTCAATTAATCAGCTGATCAAAGCCCTTCCTCTCAGTAAGCTGATCCAAGCCTTTCACCTAAGTAAGCTTATTCTATCATTGATCTCGGTGAGTTGATCTTTGAATTTCGTGTCAGCTGATTCTAGACTTCGTCTCAGTCAGCTGATCATAGCCTTTCCTGTTAATCAGCTGATCTAAGCCCTGTACATTCAGCCTTCCTCTCAATCAGCTGATCCTAGCGTTTTGTCTCTCCCAGCAGATTCACTCAGCTGATTCCAGCCTTTGGTAAGATGATCCAGACGCAGCAATATAGGGCCAGAAATCTTAAAAGACAATAATTTCCTTCGAGGTGGTTTATTAAATACATATTATGGTTGTTGTATATTGTGTACTGTGGCTGGCGGCGGTAGACGGGACGAGTGTATGGCTCCACCTGTGGTAGTCTGCCGGGTGTAGGCCTAAACCAACTCCGGAGTGATTGTTTAGGCCTACTCAAGCTCAGGAGTGAGTAGGTGAGTAATGGGTAAGAGGAAACGTGGCAGAAATGAGTAAACAGCTGAGGGAGAGAGATCAACACCCTCCGGGTACTTGACTCACATCCTGAGTAGGTAGCGTCAAGTGCAGGTGAGACAGGTGATTAATTAGTTTGGTGGCCCTCTCACCTGTGGTCGCGAAGGTGGTCCTGGCGACGGAAGGCCTTGCCGCAGATGTCGCAGGTGTAGGGTCGCTCGTCCGTGTGCGTCCGCTCGTGAATTAGCAGGTTGTAGCTCTTGGTAAATTGTCTGTTGCAGTACTTGCATATGAACTGTTTCTTGGGTCTGGGCGCACGGCCTCTGCCCAGCGCTCGCCGGTACCCCACGGAGGGGTGCTGTTGCTGCTGCTGCTGCTGCTGTTGTTGCTGTTGCTGCTGCTGCTGCTGCTGCGCCAGCATGGATTGGTAGAGAGGGTTGAGCAGCAGCGGGTATGTGTCGGTGAGCAGCGGTAATGACCTCACTGATGACATAAGAGGTGCCACCTGCGCCAGGCTCGCCGCCGCCGCCGACGACGACACCGGTGGCGACGGACTGCCGCCCGCCGCTCGTTTCTCGCTGTCAGAAACACTCTCCGCCAGGCGGGAAAAGTCAAACTTTTTGCAGTGTGAGGAGAGGGTATCGGAGGCGTGTCGCTGGGTGAGGCGCGAGAGTCCCGTTAGTGCCAAATAGGATTCGAACGCCGCCAGGTTGAGTGCCGCCAAGTCTGGCAGCGGCGCGCGTCCCATGGAAGGAAAGACGGCAGTGAACGCTGATGACCGTGGCACCATTGACAGCGTCGAGGCCGCGGCCAGGGACGACATGGGGAGTGTGGGCGGCTGTGGGCGTGAGGGTGGCGGGGACAAGGGTGGGGGGCCGGGGCGGGGGTCGGTCATGGCGGCGGAAGTGGGCGGAGGGGGTGACGAGGGCACTAAAGGCCGGGGGTCGAGCGTCATGGCGGGTGCGATCACCGCGAAGGCCGGACAGTGACTGCGGCGGCGGTGGCCGGCCGGCCTGCTCCCGCCACCGCCGTCGCCCCATTGGCGGAGCGGCAGGGCGGCCACGCCCCGCACTGCAGTAGCCGCCCGACCTGCGCACCGCTGCCGACCCAGCCCCACCGCCGCCGCCGCCGCCGACTGCGACCCACCTCCCCGCCGCTCAGCCCACCTCCCCGCCGCTCAGCCCACCTAACTAAACCTCAATTATCCTCCTCAAACATCAACATTGTGACCGGCCAAATTTGAATAATGTATTCCACCTGGACGAGGACCCTCAACACAGTCAACAGTGCTGCTGGTGACGAAGGAGACACCACCAACAGTCTCCTGGCACTGCTAACTGTGCTTTGTTGTGCCTCTTCCCACTCTCCTCTAAACTGTAGCTACCTACTATATTATGTCACCATCACCTGCTCCATATTATGCCACCATCATCTGTTCCATATTAATTCACCATCATCTGCTCCATATTATGTCATAATCATCTGTTCCATATTGTGTCACTATCATCTGCTCCATATTATGTCACCATCATCTGCTCCATATTATGCCACCATCATCTGCTCGACTCTGTCACCATCATCTGCTCCATATTATGCCACCATCATCTGCTCGACTCTGTCACCATCATCTGCTCCATATTATGGCACCATCATCTGCTCCACTCTGTCACCATCATCTGCTCCATATTATGTCACAATCATTTGCTCCATATTATGTCACCATCATCTGCTCCATATTATGGCACCATCACCTGTTCCGCTCTGTCACCATCATCTGCTCCATATTATGTCACCATCATCTGCTCCATATCTCTGTCACCATCATCTGCTCCATATTATGCCACGCTCATCTGCTCTATATTATGTCACCATCATCTGCTCCATATTATCGCACCATCATCTGTTCCGCTCTGTCACCATCATCTGCTCCATATTATGTCACAATCATCTGATCCATCATCTGCTCCATATTAGGTCACCCTCATGTGATCATTATTATGTCACCATCATCTGCTCCATATTTAGCCACCATCGTCTCCTCCATATTATGTCACCATCATCTACTCACTATTAAGTCACCATCATCTACTCCATATTAGGTCACCATCATCTGCTCCATATTATGTCACCATCATCTGCTCCATATTATGTCACCTTCACCTGCTCCATGTTATGTCACCATCATCTCCTCCACATTAGGTCACCATCGTCTGCTCCGTATTATGTCACCATCATCTCCACATTAAGTCACCATCATCTGTTCCTTATTTTGTCACCATCATTTGCTTCATAATATGTCACAATCACCTGATCCATATTATGTCACCATCACCTGCTCCATATTATGTCACCATCACCTGATCCATATTATGTCAACATCACCTGCTCCATTTTATGTCACCATCATATGATCTATATAATGTCACCATCGTCTACTCCATATTATGCCACCATCATCTGCTTCATATTATGTCACCATTACCTGCTCCATATTATGTCACCACCAACATCTTCTCCATATTATGTCACCACCAACATCTTCTCCATATTATGTCACTATCATCTGCTCCACATTAAGTCACCATCATCTGCGCCATATTATGTCACCATCATCTGCTCCATAATATGTCACCATCACCTGATCCATATTATGTCACCATCACCTTTTCCCTATTATGTCAACATCACCTGATCGATATTATGTCACCATCATCTACTCCATATTATGTCACCATCATCTACTCCATATTATGTCACCATCATCTGCTCCATATTATGTCACCTTCATCTGCTCCATATTATGTCACCATCATCTGCTCCATATTATGTCACCATCATCTGCTCCATATTATGTCACCATCATCTGCTCCATATTTTGTCACCATCATCTGCTCCATATTACGTCACCATCACCTGGTCCATATTATGTCACCATCATCTGCTCCACATTATGTCACCATCATCTGTCCCATATTATGTCAACATCATCTGCTCCATATTATATCACCATAACCTGCTCCATATTATGTCACCATCATCTGCTCCATATTATGTCACTTTCATCTGCTCCATATTATGTCACCATCATCTGCTCCACATTATGTCACCATCATTTGCTCCATATTATGTCACCATCATCTGCTCCATATTATGTCACCATCATCTGCTCCACATTATGTCACCAACATCTGCTCCATATTATGTCACCATCATCTGCTCCATATTTTGTCACCATCATCTGCTCCATATTATGTCACCATCACCTGGTCCATATTATGTCACCAACATCTGCTCCACATTATGTCACCATCATCTGTCCCATATTATGTCAACATCATCTGCTCCATATTATGTCACCATAACCTGCTCCATATTATGTCACCATCATCTGCTCCATATTATGTCACCATCATCTGTTCCATATTATGTCACCATCATCTGCTCCATATTATGTCACCATCATCTGCTCCATATTATGTCACCATCATCTGCTCCATATTATGTCACCATCATCTGCTCCATATTATGTCACCATCATCTGTTCCATATTATGTCACCATCATCTGCTCCATATTATGTCACCATCATCTGCTCCATATTATGTCACCATCATCTGCTCCATATTATGTCACCATCATCTGCTCCATATTATGTCACCATCACCTGGTCCATATTATGTCATCACCATCTGCTTCATATTTTGTCACCATCATCTGCTCCATATTTTGTCTCCATCATCTGCTCCATATTATATCACCATAACCTGCTCCATATTATGTCACCATCATCTGCTCCATATTATATCACCATAACCTGCTCCATATTATGTCACCATTATCTGCTCCATATTATATCACCATAACCTGCTCCATATTATGTCACCATTATCTGCTCCACATTATATCACCATAACCTGCTCCATATTATGTCACCATCATCTGCTCCATATTATGTCACCATCATCTGCTCCATATTATGCCACCATCATCTGCTTCTTATTATGTCACTATCACCTGCTCCATATTATGTCACCATCATCTCCTCCATATTAAGTCATCATCATTTGCTCCATATTATATCACACTACTCCATATATGTACTCCATATTATGTCACCATCATCTGCTCCATATTATGGCACCATCATCTGTTCCATATTATGTCACCATCATCTGCTCCATATTATATCACTATCATCTGCTCTATATTATGTCACCATCATCTGATCCATATTATGTCACCATCATCTGCTCCATATTTTATCACTATCATCTGTTCCATATTATGTCACCATCATCTGCTCCATGTTATGTCACCATCATCTGCTCCATATTATATCACCATCATCTGATCCATTTTATGTCACAATCATCTGCCCCATATTATGTCACCATCATCTACTCCATATTTTGTCACTATCATCTGCTTCATATTATGTCACCATCATCTGTCCCATGTTATGTCACCATCATCTGCTCCATATTTTCTCACCATCATCTGCTCCATATTATGTCACCATCATCTGCTCCATATTATGTCACCATCATCTGCTCCATGTTATGTCACCATCATCTGCTCCATATTATATCACCATCATCTGATCCATTTTATGTCACAATCATCTGCCCCATATTATGTCACCATCATCTGCTCCATATTTTCTCACCATCATCTGCTCCATATTATGTCACCATCATCTGCTCCCTATTATGTCACCATCATCTGCTCCATATTATGTCACCATCATCTGCTCCACTCTGTCACCATCATCTGCTCCATATTATGTCACCATCATCTGCTTCATATTTTGTGTCACCATCATCTGCTCCATATTATGTCACCATCATCTGCTCCATATTATATCACCATCATCTGCTCCATATTATGTCACCATCATCGGCTCCATATTATTTCACCATCATCTACTCCATATTATGTCACCATCATCTGCTCCATATTATGTCATCATCATCTGCTCCATGTTATGTCACCATCATCTGCTTCATATTTTGTCACCATCATCTGCTCCATATTATTTCACCATCATCTGCTTCATATTTTGTCACCATCATCTGCTCCATATTATGTCACCATCATCTGCTCCATATTATGTCATCATCATCTGCTCCATATTATGTCACCATCATCTGCTCCATATTATGTCACCATCATCTGCTTCATATTTTGTCACCATCATCTGCTCTATATTATGTCACCATCATCTGCTTCATATTTTGTCACCATCATCTGCTCCATATTATGTCACCATCATCTGCTTCATATTTTGTCACCATCATCTGCTCCATATTATGTCACCATCATCTGCTCCATATTATGTCACCATCATCTGCTCCATATTATGTCACCATCATCTGCTTCATATTTTGTCACCATCATCTGCTCCATATTATGTCACCATCATCTGCTCCATATTATGTCACTATCATCGGCTCCATATTATTTCACCATCATCTGCTCCATATTATGTCACCATCATCTGCTCCATATTATGTCACCATCATCTGCTCCATATTATGTCACCATCATCTGCTTCATATTTTGTCACCATCATCTGCTCCATATTATGTCACCATCATTTGCTCCATATTATGTCACCATCATCTGCTCCATATTATGTCACCATCATCTGCTCCGTATTATGTCACCATCATCGGGTCCATATTATTTCACCATCATCTACTCCATATTTTGTCACCAGCATCTGCTACATATTATTTCACCATCATCTACTCCATATCATGTCACCATCATCTGCTCCACATTAAGCCACCATCATCTGCTCCATATTATTTCACCATCATCTGCTCCATATTATGTCACCATCATCTGCTCCATATTATGTCACCATCATCTGATCCAAATTATGTCACCATCATCTGCTTCATATCAAGTCAACATCATCTGCTCCATATTATGTCACTATCATCTGTTCCAT